CCCCTTAGGAGACCTTTAACATCTATGAATGTGCCCTTCTCTTTTCTGTTTTCCGTAAACTTTTACTTTTGTGATACCTTTGGTGTAATTCTTCTTCTTCTCTCTGCCCTCTTTCTCAATGAAAAATAATGTTAACACCTGTGAATTCCGGAGAAGGACGATTATCTAGATGCTTGTCCTTCAACAAGATTGATGGTGGGATCTGGGAATCTTGTCTGGTCCTGATATATTAAAGTTTATTTGGTAACAAAGGGCAGACAACACATGAACACCGTGAAGAAGCTATAAAGGTGTGCCGTGAGCCAAATTTGAAAATCTGGTTTATGATCTTCATTTGTATTTACATGTGTAGTGTCAGAATGACCACTTCCAACATTTCTCTCAGGTATATTTAAAAATTTCAGATAAAAACAGGATGCATTATGTCTTAATAAATATCTAGGGCTTCCCTGGTGGCGCAGTGGTTGAGAGTCCGCCTGCTGATGCAGGGGACGCGGGTTCGTGCCCCGGTCCGGGAGGATCCCACATGCCGCGGAGCGGCTGGCCCCGTGAGCCATGGCCGCTGAGCCTGCGCGTCCGGAGCCTGTGCTCCGCAACCGGAGAGGCCACAACAGTGAGAGGCCCGCATACCGCAAAAAAAAAAAAAAAAAAATTAAAATTAAATAAATAAATAAATATCTAGTCAATAGTAATATGAGTCTTTACTCAGAAAGTAAGAAAACCTTTAAAATCCTGTTCATAGTTGGAAATATAAATTGCATGGAAATGATATCATTGTTAATCATGCTTAAAGGGAAATACTTGCCTATTTAAACTACTATGCTCCTTTCATAGTGTAGACATATTTGAATATTTTTAAATCAAATATTATACCATATTATAATATGTACTTTCAAATTCTGACCAGCCTTTAGAAATTGCAGCCTGGTCATTTGTGTGCTTCTGATTATTTGGATCAAATCCTTGCTGGCTTACTTACAGTCCTATTTGCCACCAAATAACTTTAGAAACGATTCCCTACATCTGAGAAGGGCTGGAAAACTCTTCTTCTACGTAGTCCACCTTGGTTTAAAATGGTGCTGATCACTACTATATATAAAATAGATAACTAGTAAGGGCCTACTGGGTAGCACAGGAAACTCTACTCAATATTCTTTAATAACCTGTATGGGAAAAGAATCTAAAAAGAGTGGATATATGTATATGTATAACTGAATCACTTTGCTGTGCACCTGAAACTAACACAACATTGTAAATTAAGTAGACTCCAATAAAAAATTTAAAATAAATTAATTAAAAAAACTGTGCTGTGCTGATCAGAATCCCCAGTGACCTCCTCTGTGGCAAAGTGGTTAAGGAAGGGGACATGAAACCATGAATAACCTGTGACCACAGGTTAGGACTAAGTATGGGACATCCTAGGTGCCTTCACCCCATGGATGTCACCTCACGGTTTAGGTTAGAGAATTTAGATGCAGGTTACAGCGCTGTTTTTACATCAGACTCCTTCAGGTAGACCAATGAGAAGCACATCAGTGGCCAGTATCTGTTCTTTCATGTTGGAGGATCTTGTGATTGCCTGAGTAGAGTCACAGAGTTATAGAACTGGTAGAGACTAGAAATCACATAACTCAAGCATTGTTTTTAACTTCAGATATTTATGTCCAGAGAATCTAACTTACTCCACCCAAGTTTTCTGACTTGTACCTAATGTGGCAGCACTAAGTTGTGTGGGCATTTGGTGATCCTGGGTTTAAATCCTAAACATCACTTTTTAGCTATTTGAGTCATTTAATGTTTGTGAGCCTCGGTTTTCTCTTTGGTGCAAAAGAAAAGTCATATTTACTGCACCAGTTTTGGAAGGTTAAATAAGATAACGTCTGGGGGAAAAAACGTTCCATTTTGACTAGCACCCAGTAGGCCTTCAAGAAATAGTAGCTCCCTGTTCCTTTTACCCAAGCATCTTGGACTGCTCCTTCCTCATGGCAAACTTCACATATATCCTTGTAAGAGCTGAACCCTGGCAGATTATCATGACCTAAGCAGTACACTGATACTAGTCCCAAGTGCTCAAGCAAAAATCAAACTCAACTGAAAAGTCTGTTTCTCAATCATTCCAAGGCCCCCTTCCATAGTAGCCAATTGAAACCAATGTCCCGAGAACCTCTCATTTCACTGCTGCTTAGCCTGTGCAGGAAACCTAATCACATCAGTACACAGAGGGAAGTCTGGCTTGTTTGGAATACAGAGACATGGTCCCCACCTTTGTCTCCCCCCTTCCCCCGCTTCAGCCCTCTCCACATTTCCTCCACATATCCTTTCCCCACTTTCACCCTCCCCTCTCCTTACCTCCCCTTTCTTCCACCATGTGGATCAAATCTTGGACCCAGCTATCAGTTCTCATATGCTATTAACATCATTATGCCTCATTTGCATCTCATTGTAATTAGTCGGGTTATCCAAAGCTTCATCTCCTGGCTCTCCTCCTGGAATTCTTAGTGAATCTGTTATTTTATAACGCACTTTTGGACTCTCTTTCCATATGGTTACTGTGTGTGACCACAGATGCTGTTAGGCCCTTCCTAGTCTCCTTATGGTCCCAAGTTTTTCTGGAACTATCTGGTTTACTCACAGTTCCCTGTATCCACTTGTCCCTATTCACATGACCAAAAAGAAATATGTATCCATACTTTATAAATAGATGGATGCTGGATAAAAAAAAAGAACTCTCGTATACATCTTTCCAGGGATACAGAGCTATACTTTACAGGCAGAAATATAGTTAACAGAGGAAACATAACACACATATATGTCAACGCTCCATTTGAGTTTTAAAAAAGAAACGAGAGTCATGGGTATTTGGGGAAAGGTGTTTCTGGCAGAGGTGCTGCAGGAGAGAGGTGAAAAACTATGCCTGCTTTTGTGGGAGGTAAGAGAAAAATTGTCAGTTAAATGTAAAGATAGAACAGTAAACTTCAACCTTCAGTATTTGCATCAAAATGAAAAAGGACTGGGCATTAATTTTAAAATAGTTTCCATTATATATTTCTCTTTACAAACTGAACACATTTTGATGATAGAAACATTAGAAAATGCCAATAATCAGGAAAAAAAAAAGCAGAAAAGAAACCAATTCATCACCCATATAACACTGGTAATGCTTTGTAAATGTTATCTGATGTTTTTCAATATTTTCACTTATCATAAGCACCTGTCCATGTAATCAAATATTCTTCTGTAATATCATATTTATGGCTTTGTAGTCTTTTATCATGTGAAAATTTCATAATACAAGTTTATAAACAGCTCAGCAGCACACACCCGCCTCTCTCTATGTATCTTTGCTGATATGCCCTCCTTCTGCATGGGACTCAGACTGGCCATGTCTTTACTGAATTTTTGTACAGCTTATTTGCTGATTATACATCTCCGTTGTGTTTCTTTTAAAATACTATTTGTCTTTATCTGTGCATTTTTAATATTTATTTTGATAGCAAATTCAGTGCAAAAATAGGAGGAAATTATATGCAATAGTGATGGCAGTGGCTACAGTATCCTGGAATGTCCAATCTGTAACATGCAGTGCATCTTATTTGAGGAAATGTATTGAGCCTAATATGACCTACATAGGTTAATTTAATCAGTTGTGATAATATTGTCATAAGGACTCAACTACATATTTCGCAGGAAGACTATGTTGTACTTAAAGAAAGGGAAAATAAATAGTGGCGATAATTCAATTGGCCTGTGGGTTTTTAAAAATATTATCACTATGCCAACTGGTAACAGCAGCTGTGTTTATTGAGTACCTACTCTGTATCAGATATTGAACAGGTATTAATTCATTTCTCATAATAACACCTTGAATAGTTACACTATAATCTTACTTGCAGAAGAATTAAATTTGGGCACAGAGAGTGTAGTAATTAACCTGAGGCTAAACAGCAAAAATGATAAAACTGGTATAGGAATTCAGGCTGTCTGTTTGGAGCCTGCACTCACTCTTAACTACGATTCTTGAAATGCCTAGATGTAAGTGATTTTCCAGTTCATTCCAATTAGGTAACTCCAATACCATAAAAGAGCATTTACATTACAGGATTTTGTGTGCATTTCTACAAGGCAATTCACAAGTAAAATACAATCTGTATCATGGAACTACAAACTACCCTTCCAGAAACATGCTTGCTCACATTTCAAGGAATCAAATGACTTAAAGTTAATTTAGAGTTTTGGCTTTGAGAAGATATATTTCGGGCTATATTATAAAATATAATTGAGAAGGGCAGTTAAGTTACATTGTAATTTTAAAATTAAATAACTTGGGAATTCCAATCAAACGTTGAGAAGTAGTTTAAAGCTCCATAATACTTAAATTTGAAATTTGTAACAGTTGCATCCTTTCTCAAGACACCTGAATGCTCGAGAATGAAGAACTGCTTTCTGTTGGGAAAGCAGTGCAAGAAAGTGGTTTAGAGTGTGGGCTCTGGAATCAGACTGCCTGGATCTACTAAGCCACTGGCCAGGCAATCTTGCGCAGAATTCTTAACCTCACTCTTTTCTACCTTAAAATGGAATCATAACAATCTCTTTTCCACAGGCCTGTTTTGACAATTAAATGAGAAATGCATATAAAGTGCACAGCACAGTTCCTTGCATATATAATGTTGAATAAATGTTAGCTAATATGATTGTTATTAATAATTATTACTTTACATTCACACCGTCTCTAAACATTTGTAATTCTCCTCAATTTCTGCTAGCCCAAGTGTATCCCTTTAGCGGGTGTCCATTCAAAATCAGTGCTGAATCTGAGGTCCAAATTGAGATAGCTCCTTTCCCAGCTGAAGTCCTCTTCAGCCTTAGAAATACTTGGCTGCATTCCGTGGTTCTCTCCCCGCCCACACACACTTTAATAGTAAAGCACAAGACGTATGCAAAATATCTGAAAATATGTTCTGGCCTGTGGTTTGTATTTATGAATGGCTTTTATTCTTCAGGTCAGCTTCTGGAAGCTGCGGAGCATTATGAGGCCTTCCATCAATTGACGCAGGGACGGATATGGAAGGATGAGACAGGCCGCGTTCTCAACTTGTTGGCCTGTGAGAGTCTCCTGAGGACTTACAGATTACTCTCAGACAAAATGCTGGAAAATAAAGAATACAAACAGGCCATCAGAATTCTTATAAAAGCTTCTGAAATAGCCAAAGAAGGTGGGTGGAAAACAGCACTCTCACGTTGCTGCCTTTAATGGGCAGATACTGCTTCTCCCAAGAGGGAGGTAAAAATTGTCAAGTGTTCGGGTGATTATTTCCTATGAAATGCAGGGACAAATGCCATCAATATACTTTCAAATTTCACTGTAAAACAGAGGGGCCTTAGTGCTGACAGCAAGAAATCCATTAGTTTCTTGAAAGCTTTACCTCCAAAATTGCAACCCTCTGGGAATAATGTTATAAAACAGTGAACCCATGATGAGAAGGTAAGGTCATTTGCAAAAGTTAACTCTGTGTGTGTGTGTGTGTGTGTGTGTGTGTGTGTGTGTGTGTGTGTGCTTAAGGTCATATATTTCTTACAATCTGAGAGACCTTTCATTGTTTGTAAATTCCCTATTGTCGGGTAATAGGAAAGATATGATAAATATTTAGTTAAGAGTAACAGGAAGATAGAACTTTAATATATTTTAGACCCATGCCTGTCAAAGTGTGTGGCCTTTGGACTGGCAGCATCAGCATCACCAGGAAGCTTATAAGAAATGCAGCATCTCAGGCCCCACCCCCGACCGACTGCATCAGAATCTGCAGGTTTGCAAGATCTCCAGGTGATTTGTATGCACGCTTACAGCAGTGAAAATGCTTTTGTGACAGCTGATCACATCCTTAATATTCTATTATCATTAAAATATGTATAAAATATAAAGAAAAAAATTGGAACATATAATCATAAGCTTTTACTCTGTGAGATGCAAGGATATTTTGTGACCTCAGAGTAGTATATTAATAAATTACTTTTCATGAAGGAGAAAAAGATGGAAGTTACGCTCTTGAACTAAGTTCATTAGCTTGTGGACATATTTAATCAGTTGGCTTATTGAGTAACAAATGGCTTATATGGAGTAAACAGGACTGATTTTCTGGGTTTGATTTTAATTTTTTAAAGAATGAAAGTAAAATCTTAGCTTATTCTCTCTGTTAATTTTTAAAAGTAATATTAGTTAAATTACCCATAGGACATCACCCCCAGTGAAAGATGTATCCCATTGAATGAACTGCTTTTGAATGAACGGTGATCTAGTACCTTCCCCAAAGGGGTACACACTGATATAAATAGTTACCTCTTAGATCAATTTCAGCAGCTAACTTTAGTCACGTGAAAAGTTACGTGGATTTTTTTTAACATCTTTATTGGAGTATAATTGCTTTACGATGGTATGTTAGTTTCTGCTTTACAACAAAATGAATCAGTTATATATATACATATGTTCCCATATCTCTTCCCTCTTGCGTCTCCGTCCCTCCTACCCTCCCTATCCCACACCTGCAGGCGGTCACAAAGCACCGAGCTGATCCCCCTGTGCTATGCGGCTGCTTCCCACTGGCTATCTACCTTATGTTTGGTAGTGTATATATGTCCATGCCTCTCTCTCGCCCTGTCACAGCTCACCCTTCCCCCTCCCCATATCCTCAAGTCCATTCTCTAGTAGGTCTGTGTCTTTATTCCTGTCTTACCCCTAGGTTCTTCATGACATTTTTTTTTTCTTAAAATCCATATATATGTGTTAGCATACGGTATTTGTCTCTCTCTTTCTGACTTACTTCACTCTGTATGACAGACTCTAGGTCTATCCACCTCATTACAAATAGCTCAATTTCATTTCTTTTTATGGCTGGGTAATATTCCATTGTATATAAGTGCCACATCTTCTTTATCCATTCATCTGTTGATGGACACTCAGGTTGTTTCCATCTCCAGGCTGTTGTAAATAGAGCTGTAATGAACATTTTGGTACATGACTCTTTTTGAATTATGGTTTTCTCAGGGTATATGCCCAGTAGTGGGATTGCTGGGTCATATGGTAGTTCTATTTGTAGTTTTTTTAAGGAACCTCCATACTGTTCTCCACAGTGACTGTATCAATTTACATTTCCACCAACAGTGCAAGAGTGTTCCCTTTTCTCCACACCCTCTCCAGCATTTATTGTTTCTAGATTTTTTGATGATGGCCATTCTGACTGGTGTGAGATGATACCTCATTGTAGGTTTGATTTGCATTTCTCTAATGATTAGTGATGTTGAGCATTCTTTCATGTGTTTGTTGGCAGTCTGTATATCTTCTTTGGAGAAATGTCTATTTAGGTCTTCTGCCCATTTTTGGATTGGGTTGTTTTTTTTTTGTTATTCAGCTGCATGAGCTGCTTATAAATTTTGGAGATTAATCCTTTGCAATCATTTGCAAATATTTTCTCCCATTCTGAGGGTTGTCTTTTGGTCTTTTTTATGGTTTCCTTTGCTGTGCAAAAGCTTTTAAGTTTCATTGGGTCCCATTTGTTTATTTTTGTTTTTACTTCCATTTCTCTAGGAGGTGGGTCAAAAAGGATCTTGCTGTGATTTATGTCATAGAGTGTCCTGCCTATATTTTCCTCTAAGAGTTTTATAGTGTCTGGCCTTACATTTAGGTCTTTAATCCATTTTGAGCTTATTTTTCTGTATGGTGTTAGGGAGTGATCTAATCTCATACTTTTACATGTACCTGTCCACTTCTCCCAGCACCACCTATTGAAGAGGCTGTCCTTTCTCCACTGTACATTCCTGCCTCCTTTATCAAACATAAGGTGACCATATGTGCGTGGGTTTATCTCTGGGCTTTCTATCCTGTTCCATTGATCTATCTTTCTGTTTTTGTGCCAGTACCATACTGTCTTGATTACTGTAGCTTTGTAGTATAGTCTGAAGTCCGGGCATCTGTTTCCTCCAGCTCCATTTTTCGTTCTCAAGATTGCTTTGGCTATTCGGGGTCTTTTGTGTTTCCATACAAATTGTGAAATTTTTTGTTCTAGTTCTGTGAAAAATGCCAGTGGTAGTTTGATAGGGATTGCATTGAATCTGTAGATTGCTTTGGGTAGTAGAGTCATTTGCACAATATTGATTCTTCCAATCCAAGAACATGGTATATCTCTCCATCTATTTGTATCATCTTTAATATCTTTCATCAGTGTCTTAAAATTTGCTGCATATAGGTCTTTTGTCTCCTTAGGTAGGTTTATTCCAAGATATTTTATTCTTTTTGTTGCAATAGTAAATGGGAGTGTTTTCTTCATTTCACTTTCAGATTTTTCATCATTAGTGTATAGGAATGCCAGAGATTTCTGTGCATTAATTTTGTATCCTGCTACTTTACCAAATTTATTGATTAGCTCTAGTAGTTTTCTGGTAGCATCTTTAGGCTTCTCTATGTATAGTATCATGTCATCTGCAAACAGTGACAGCTTTACTTCTTCTTTTCCGATTTGGATTTCTTTTATTTCCTTTTCTTCTCTGATTGCTGTGGCTAAAACTTCCAAAACTATGTTGAATAAGAGTGGTTAGAGTGGGCAACCTTGTCTTGTTCCTGATCTTAGTGGAAATGCTTTCAGTTTTTCACCATTGAGGACGATGTTGGCTGTGGGTTTGTCATATATGGCCTTTATTATGTTGAGGGAAGTTCCCTGTATGCCTACTTTCTGCAGGGTTTTTATCATAAATGGGTGTTGAATTTTGTCAAAAGCTTTCTCTGCATCTATTGAGATGATCATATGGTTTTTCTCCTTCAATTTGTTAATATGGTATATCACGCTGATTGATTTGCATATATTGAAGAATCCTTGCATTCCTGGAATAAACCCCACTTGATCATGGTGTATGATCCTTTTAATGTGCTGTTGGATTCTGTTTGCTAGTATTTTGTTGAGGATTTTTGCATCTATGTTCATCAGTGATATTGGCCTGTAGTTTTCTTTCTTTGTGACATCCTTGTCTGGTTTTGGTATCAGGGTGATGGTGGCCTCGTATAATGAGTTTGAGAGTGTTCCTCCCTCTGCTATATTTTGGAAGAGTTTGAGAAGGATAGGTGTTAGGTCTTCTCTAAATGTTTGATAGAATTCGCCTGTGAAGCCATCTGGTCCTGGGCTTTTGTTTGTTGGAAGATTTTTAATCACAGTTTCAGTTTCAGTGCTTGTGATTGGTCTGTTCATATTTTCTATTTATTCCTGATTCCGTCTTGGCAGGTTGTGCATTTCTAAGAATTTGTCCATTTCTTCCAGGTTGTCCATTTTATTGGCATAGAGTTGCTTGTAGTAATCTCTCATGATCTTTTGTATTTCTGCAGTGTTAGTTGTTACTTCTCCTTTTTCATTTCTAATTCTATTGATTTGAGTCTTCTTCCTTTTTATCTTGATGAGTCTGGCTAATGGTTTATCTATTTTGTTTATCTTCTCAAAGAACCAGCTTTTAGTTTTACTGATCTTTGCTATTGTTTCCTTCATTTCTTTTTCATTTATTTCTGATCTGATTTTTATGATTTCTTTCCTTCTGCTAACTTTGGGTGGTTTTTTTTTTGTTCTTCTTTCTATAGTTGTTTTAAGTGTAGGGTTAGATTGTTTATTTGACATTTTTCTTGTTTCTTGAGGTGAGATTGAATTGCTCTAAACTTCCCTCTTAGAACTGCTTTTGCTGCATCCCATAGGTTTTGGGTTGTTGTGTCTCCATTGTCATTTGTTTCTAGGTAGTTTTTTATTTCCTCTTTGATTTCTTCAGTGATCACTTCGTTATTAAGTAGTGTATTGTTTAGCCTCCATATGTTTGTATTTTTTATAGATCTTTTCCTGTAATTGATATTTAGTCTCATAGCATTGTGGTCGGAAAAGATACTTGATACAATTTCAATTTTCTTAAATTTACCAAGGCTTGATTTGTGACCCAAGATATGATCTATCCTGGAGAATGTTCCATGAGCACTTGAGAAAAATGTGTATTCTGTTGTTTTTGGATGGAATGTCCTATAAATATCAATTAAGTCCATCTTGTTTAATATATCATTTAAAGCTTGTGTTACCTTATTTATTTTCATTTTGGATGATCTGTCCATTGGTGAAAGTGGAGTGTTAAAGTCCCCTACTATGAATGTGTTACTGTCGATTTCCCCTTTTATGGCTGTTAGTATTTGCCTTATGTATTG